CAAGGTAAGTTTATTTGATTTTATTGCGCTTATTGTTATAGGATTATGTTATAATAATCTTTAAATTCATGACCAATTTGTTTCAGGCTTGTAATATTACACTCAACAATCAGTTTAAATGTCATTCATAATTCTACTGTACCGACAAAGTCTCACAGCATGTTTCTATACTATCAATGCTGTCAAGTAAGAATTATATACAATAGAACATACAATTACCTTAATCTAAATAAACTTCTATATAAAAATCAATTCGGTTTTAAAAAAAATTGTTTAACTGAACAAGCCATTACACAGTTCATTCGTAAAATCTCCGATTCATTTGGTAGATCACAATATACATTAGGTATTTTCATTGACCTATCAAAAGCATTCGACACGGTCGATCACAAAATTCTACTTAAAAAACTCAAATTTTACGGAATTAATGGCAAATTAATAAAATGGTATCAAAGTTACTTGGAAAACAGAAAACAATTTGTTTTCTATGGAGATTATTTTCAAAATAAAAAATTAATTGACATAAAATGTGGTGTTCCACAGGGTTCTATTCTAGGCCCACTTTTGTTTTTAGTTTATATAAATGATTTAAATAAAGCTTCTAACCTTATGAGTATAAATTTTGCGGACGATACTAATTTATTTCTGTCAAACAGTAGCATTTATGAGCTTTTTTCAAATATGAATAATGAACTCAATCAGATCTCCAACTGGTTTAAGTGCAACAAGTTAACTTTAAACATTGACAAAACAAAGTGGATCTTTTTCCACTCTCTTGCTAAAAAGCGTTTTTTACCAAATAAATTGCCTAAACTTTTTATTGATAAAATTGAAATAAAAAAGGAGTCGGTCACAAGATTTTTAGGCATTTACATTGATGAAAATATTACATGGAAGTATCATATCGACTATATTTCTACTAAATTGGCTAAAAGTATTGGAATTCTATATAAGGTCAGATACTATCTAAGTAAACAAAATTTAATTCAACTCTACTACTTGTTTATTCATAGCTATATAAATTATGCAAATATTGTTTGGGGAAGTACCTCTAAAAGTAAGTTACGAAGTCTTTACCATCGTCAAAAACACGCAATGCGTTTAATATGTTTCGAAAATCGTTTTTCTTATTCAAATATTTTATTTGAAAACGTTAAATCACTTAACGTTTACGAACTCAATGTCTATAATATTTTATGTTTTTTGTTTCGTTGTAAAAGTGAACGACCATTGTCCAATTTCAAAGATCTTTTTACTTATAAAGCTATAAACAAATATGCTTTACGAAATAATAATTTATTAATTGAACCCTTTTGTCAAACAAAGTTTAATCAATTTTGCATAAACTATAGAGCACCGTATTTATGGAACAAAATTGTTGTTCCAAATTTTGATTTGTCAATTTCGTTTTCCGTTTTTAAAACTAAATTAAAAAACTATATTCTTTCTACTGGCAATATATATAAATATTTTTGAAATGTAAAATTCTTTTTTTTTTTACTCTGGATAATTTGTAAAATTTTTTTCATTTTTTGTTTCTTCTACATTGTTATTAGTTATTTGATCAATTGTATTTTATTTTATTATATATACACGTATTATATCTTTTATATGGTTCTGGCGACAAGATCATTTGGATCTTCTTTCAGATACCAAGTTTATATATTGTTATATTGTTATATTACGATTAATAATTGTAAACTGAAAAAAAAAAAGAAAAAAAAAAAAAAAAGTATAAGTCAGTATTAAAAAGACCAGAGTGAAAAATAATGAGTAAAAAACAGTTTTTTAGTAAAAAGAGTAAATAATTTATTTATTTATATTATCTAGCCATAAATCCTGATACAGTTATAAGAATTGCAAGACATTGGTATAAGCATGGAACAACCATACATGAAAATAGAGGAGGAGACTGGAAGAAAGCAGTTTTTTCTGAAATGAAAGAAACTATTAAAAACTATATTCAAACTTTTATATGCAGAGCAAGTCATTATGGTAGAAAAAGTGTTTTTAAACATAAATATTTGCCTCTGATTTGAATGTAAAACGTCTAAAATGTACTAACTTTTTTTGGACAAAAATAATACATCTATTGCTCAAAATATGGGCTACCATTATTATTACAGGGTATTTATAATGTAATACAATTTAGCATTTGGATACAAGCAACTGATACATGTTCTACATGTCAACAGGTCAAGTTGTCTATGTAAAACCAAAATATTACTAATGACCAAAAGAAAAGAAAAACTGCACTTTTTACTCTTCACCGAAAAAAAACAAGAATATTTTAAAGTTTGCTTAATTATATCCACCCAAATGAGATGACTATCTGTTTTGACATGATGGAAAAGCATGGACTACCGAAATGATTGATAGGAGAAGCCTCCTATTCTCAGCAACTTTCTTTACATATTTTAAAAATTGTTAATGATAAAGGTAATAAATCTCAGTCTATTAACAATATATAAGTTTTTACGTGGTTAGAGGGTGAGAATCGAAAAGATTCAAATATGATCTGCTTTATGCTATGGACATCTATGCTTCTTCCTTTAAGAAATCAATGTTTCAAGAAACTACATACTACACATAAGTTTCCAGAACGTGGGCACTCGCATCTGCTGGGAGATCATGTATTTGCTCGAATTCAGCTTGATATAAAAAAGAAGATAAATTCTGGATCCTTATGAATACATAAACATACTGACCCGATATGTAAAATTCATGGTCTATGGGCAAGAATGGTCAGCACTTGACGTCAAATCAAAAGTGAAAAAGTATGTCACGAACACAAAAAAATTTAAAATCAGTGAAACCAAAAAACATCCTTAATTGTTCTGACAAGTTAGAAGTGGTTTCATGCAGTTACCATTCTCAACCCAAATCACACAGTAAAGAAGCAATAAATGGGATAATTTCCGACTAATATATTTGGAATCAAAAAATGTTTTAAAATTGCTGAAAAAGAATATGTTATATGTCTCCTTTGTATTGTTGGAGTAGAAGACAGAATACTTGCCATGTAAAAACACTAATCTATAATACCACTGAAGATATTACTAACTTTAGTGAAGATTTTTAGTTTCAGTTCAAAACTTCATTTATATTTTTTAGCTGTGAATTCTTTTGGTGTGCATTATTCGATGTATAAATGTTGAACAAACTTTTATTTCCAGAATAAACTATTGTTTTTTTGTTCTTATTTGATTTTCTTTTATTAAATCAAAAGAGCTAGTTTTTGATATTTTATACGTTTTTATAGTTACCTTTTAGAGCTGTTTTAAATTTTTTTTTAAAGAGTTATTGAAATTAAATAATATCAAATAACATTATTAAAAAAACAATATATATATATATATATATATATATATATATATATATATATATATATATATATATATATATATATATATATATATATATATATATATATGTATATATATATATATATATATATATATATATATATATATATATATATATATATATATATATATATATATATATATATATATATATATATATATATATATATATATATATATATAATACATCATAAATAAAATTTTGGACAAAATTTAAAAATTAATATTTTGAAAACTATTAAATTTTATTATTTAATATTTCAACTGTTAATATGTTTTTCTTGCTTCAAACTCTTCCAAATTCTCAGCTCTCTAATTATTCAAGTACACTAGCCGTTTTAAGAGTCATAAACTACCATTTTATACGTTTTTATAGTTACCTTTTAGGGTTGTTTTAATTTTTTTTTAAAGAGTTATTGAAATTAAATAATATCAAATAACATTATTATAAAAACAATATATATATATATATATATATATATATATATATATATATATATATATATATATATATATATATATATATATATATATATATATATATATATATATATATATATATATATATCAACTGTTAATATGTTTTTCTTGCTTCAAGCTCTTCCAAATTCTCAGCTCTCCAATTATTCAAGTATATTAGCCGTTCTAAATCACCCCAAATGTTTTCAATTGGTCTTGCTTCTGGAATGTTAGCTGGGTTTATATCTTTGGGTACAACTTTAATTTTTTTCAATTTCAATAAGTCGATGACCGACTTTGCGAAATGCGATCGAGCTAGATCAGGCCAGAAGATAAACTCATTGTCTTTTTTATAATACTCTGATAAAGAAGGGAGTAAAGTTTTTTCTTGTATCTCTTTATAAGTGTAATGGTTCATTGCCTGCTTACTGTGATAAATATAAAAAGGGCTTATTCCACGGGGGCTGATGCAACAGGAAACTAAGAGCTTGTTCTCGTACCATTTACGCAAATTGTATCTAACTTTGTCAGAACATTGAGAAGGATCAGCGGCATAAAACCTATCATTACCAGCTAATGTGCTATTGTTTAAGGTAAAATAGGTTTCATCATCCATAACAAAATCCAAGTTTTTATAATTTTTGTACAATTTACGACATTTAGGACGCATAGCTTTCTTCTGCTGATGGCTACGATCTGGACGATTTGTTTTTTTTGAAAGTTCAAATGTTAGTCATTGTTTTTAATACTTGGGAAAGCCTAGTTTGACTACAGTTAAAAACTTGAGCTACTTTCTTTTGGGAGTACCCTGATTTATTTTATAGATCCATTCTCCAATTTTACGATTTTATTGTAAGCAGTTGATCTGGGTAAACCCTATTCCATAAACTGCTTAGGAACAAACGCTTCACCTTTTTCTCGATTTTTTTAGAAAAAAATTTCCATAATTTTTTCAAGGTCCTTTAATTTTATCATTTTACTTTCAATATTTAAATAATATTTTTAAACTAATTAAATTAATTAGATTATAAAATCCTCTTTCAAATAAGTATAAAGGTTTTTTGCTTGCATGAAATACATTACATAATAAATTCAATTAAAATTTGTCCGAAATTTTATTTATAATTAATTTAATTTTATTTATATTGAAATTAGTTCTTATATAAAATTACTTACACAAAGTTATTTTCATGGAAAATTTTAAACTGTAAGTTTTCCTTGTACGTGTCAAAATCAGTATCAGCTCCGCGATTAATAAACTCTTTGCATTGCTCATTAATTATAAAATCGTCAAATAATTTTTGGTCTCCATTATGGCACACTCTAACAATAATTTTTTTAACGATGTCTTCTGACCATTTATTTAACATATTTCCGTTTGTTTCATTTTTATTTAAGGACTCTTCATTATTATTAGAACCTATGACTAAAACTGTTAAATGCGAGTTTGATCTAGACATGGCATCAACAAGAACATGTCGAAGATAAATCTCTTCTTGGCTCACAAAAACAATAACAGATTCAGATTCCGCTCCTGAAAATCCTTTGCAGTCGGTTACAAGTATGTCCATTTCACTTCTTAATTTTTTTTTTACTTTGATTTTTGTTTCTAATGGTGGGGAATACTTCTGCAAATGTGGGGAATAAGTTATTGCTTTATAGTTTCCAATTATATCTATTGCATATGCAACAGATTGCACTTCTTCCATGTTGTTGCATATAACCACAGTTCTTCTTAGTTTGTTAAAACAAAGATTTTCTAATACAATTGATAAGATTTTTACAGATTGCTTTTCTGATATATCATAAAAAGGTAAATATACAACCATGGGTTTTTCTCCTTTGATTGCATGTCCTATATTACTAGAATTGAAAACATATTTTGTCTCCATATAACTATTTGGATCAAAATTGTTAGCTTTTTTTGCAATTATCTTTGACATGTAGTCTAAATCATAATCGTGAAAATCATTAACAGTTGTACCTTTAAATTTATTTTCAATTACCTGCTCTAAATTAAAATCTTTAAATTCTTCTATACCTTTGTCATTAGTAATACTTGTTGTTTTCTTTTGTCTGTAATTTAAAATATTATTGTAAAAAGATTTGATAGATACATAATTATTTTCTTTTACCTTAGCCTTATCATTTGAATCATTATTTAATTTGACAGTCATGTAGTCATTTCCTTTTCTACCTATTGTCATTTCCTTAGAATTCATGTTTAAAATGTTTAGGGCAGACTTACTTCTTTCAATGTTAGTTTCATTTTTAGAGATGTCTCTTAAATCAACTGTGGACAAACTTTGCTGAATTTGAAATTGCAGATCAGATTTTGCTTCTTTTTGTAATGTTCTTAAAGTTTTTGTATTCGGAAAGTTTAAAACAGTTTTAGTTTCACAAATAGCTGATTGAGCAATATCTATTAATAATTGATTACATCCACTTACTCTCATTGATTTATTGAGAGATACAACCTTCATTCCAATTATTTCTTCTTGAAAGCAGTTTCTTTGTAGTGTATGCTTTTGATTATTTGTTATTATTTCTCTACTTTTTGAAATACTCTCAGGAATAAAAACTACTAAAGACTCTTTTAATACAGTTGTAAATAAATGTTTAATTTGAAGTGCATCTTTTTCTTTTACATACTCTTCAGAAAGTTCTTCAAGAACAAAGCCTACCTTGTTATTGTTGATGCTAGCCAAATAATCTAGTAATATTGGAAGAGAAATGTACTTTTTATATATCTTTCTGTTCTGACACATGTTTTTCCATAACTCATACAAATTGTCACACACAACAGTAACATTCGAGGTTTTCTGTATACTGTCAATAAACTCCTTCATATGGCATTCAAACAAAGAGAAATGATTACAACAAATATAATACAAAGTAAAAGGATTTTCTGTTCTTTGTGTTAGACAGTTTATGACAATTTCTTTTCCTACTATAGATTTTCCTGAACCATATCCTCCAATGATGATTTTTTTCAGTGCTTTATCATTGATTGCATTTCTTTGTTCAACGTTCAGAATCAATGATTGTATCTGTTTTTGAGTGTCAGATTCTAATGCTGGAAAACCATGGTCAACTAAAGCCATTGACATCATAGTTAAGCCAATGAGTTTTTTAAATAATTCTTCATTTTTATTTTGTGCATTAAGTTTTTTAATGCAGTATGCCACAACTGATCTCCACCAACTTTCAAAAGTCTCATCTTCAAAGTCATCTTTACATAGAAACAAAATTTGATCTAAATGAAAACTCTCTGAAAAGTGAAAAAATAGTTCTTCTTCTAATTGCTTACGATCATTTAAAGGAACAACAATAATTCCTAATATAATCAAATTATTATTTTCAGTAAGAGGATGATTAACACTAAGAAACAATTTGACATCATTTAGGCAATTCTCAGATTCCAGTTTAATGCAATCCATTGAAGTAACAACTCGAGCAATTATAACAAGATTAAGTTCCGAGCAAAATATTGTTATTCTATTTAAATCTTGAAAATTCTTAAGTTTTTTAACACCACACTTTAAAAGAGATGCATGATAACATAAACGGTAACTAGGTAACACTGCACGAATGCCTATTCCATTTACAGTAAATAAATCAAAAAACTTAGACACAACAAATAAAAAACTATCATTAGAAATTGAAGGAGAGACATAAATAACATATTTACTATCCGGAAAATTTCTATTAAAATAATCTAATGCACACAACTCTATTGATTTATCATCCGGTACTTTATTTAAATGAATATTGCTTGTATCTCTCCAATCCAAAGAATTTAATCTTATTATATCTTTACTAAATTCGTCATTGAAAATTGGTTCAGGTGTTGCAATATACAAACTGTTATAAGTTAGTTCATATTTGCAATTACCTAAATGAAAATATATAACAATATTAAAAGTAAATTGAAATAAAAACTATTATATGTACAATAATAGGCGGTAGTGGTGTAATGGTAGATCGCTCGCTTCATAAACGACAGGTTCGATTCCCACCACGTCTCTGATAGTAATGCGCTCAACTTGTTTCTCCACGCAGCGGCTTTGTTAATCAAGGTTCGTGTTTTGGAGTTATAGACCCAGTCAACCAACACATATGGGTACCGTATGGGAGTCGTCCAGGTATCTGGTATGGGATACGTAAGGGCTTTTTTATGGGCTTGGTCTGGTACACATATGGGAAAGCAATAAAAACGGTGTTACATTTTTTGATATTGAGGCAGAACTGAAATAAGTTATTTTCAAAACAAAAATGGCTAAACAGTTCGCAACGTGCGATTTATGTTATTATATTTTAAATAAAATGATTGATTTTAATTAGTTGTATAAATTATAAACATGGACAATTTCCTGAAGTTAACAATGCTTATAATAATTTTCTTATTTATAGTTGGATGTTTGTATAAGATTTATACAGAATGCAAATAACACTGTATGAAACAAATATTAAACCAAATGTTAGTTTTATAAAACTTTTTAAATTTAAAAAGTTAATCAATAAAACTTAGTTTCAAAATTTCAAAAAAGTTAGTTAACCAGATGTTAGTAAATTTATTAATTACAATCATAATGGTAAACTTGACCGTTACCAAAATGAAACAACTAGCTCAGTAAGTCATGATGAAGACAAAACTGTAGAGTACGATGTCAATACCGATTGCCTTTAAAGTCAGTTACGAGCATAGGATTTAAAGTTTAACATTTCACATAATGCATGTTCAGATTTGATTTCTTGCTGAGCCAATCATATCCTGATTTGCCAACGGATACAAGAAGTTCGTTGCAAACTGAAAGAAGTATTACTATAACAAGTATTGCAGGCGGAGAATATTCCTATTTTGTACTAAAACATTGGCTTTCTATTTTAATGGAAAGGTATCCTATTAAATCTGAAATTAATAAATTGCATCTGCATATAAATATAGATGAAGTGCCATTATTTAATAGCTCAACTGCCAGCTTGTGGCCTATTCTTTGCTCTGTTCGAGATGCAGATTGGTATCCTTTTCCACTTACACTTTAATTTGGTTAAACCAAGCCTAACTTATTACAGCATTATTTAAAAGACTTTGTTGCTGAAATAAAAATGTTAGAACAAACAGGTTTTGTTTGTGTGGCAACTGGGAAGTACTATCTAATAAAGTTAGAGGCTTTTATTTGTGATGCACCTGCCAGAGCATTTGTAAAGTGCATTAAACCACATAATGCATATCATTCTTGCGAACTTTCTTTTCAAACAGTTAAGTGGTATGTCAAAGTCGTTATGCCCAATTTAGTCGCGCTTCTGAGATCGGACATCAGTTTTAAAAACAAAGCAGGTAAAAATCATTATGATGGTACGCGTATATCACCTATTGAGGAATTATATATTAGTTTAGTTAGTGGTTTTCCAATTGATAGCATGCATTCAGTATTTTTAGAAACAGTTCGCAGGTATATAAACCAGTTAGTCTATGGTAGATCTGAGTATAAGTTATCAAGATCAACAATTGATGCTATATCTTGCTATTCTATGAGCTTATATTCCTACAGAATTTTCACAAAAGCCTCGATCTCTTTTAGAGTTCAAGCAATGGAATGCTACAGAATAATTGTTTAAAAAGGCCTATTGTTGTTTAAAAAGGCCCTATTGTTTAAAAAGGTATTCTTTCTGATTCTGTATACTCCAATTTTTTGTGTCTCTCTGCAGCTATTCGCATTCTTATGACTCCATCATTGGGAAACAACCACTACGCGTTTATGTAGAAAACTTATTAAAGTACTATGTATATAATTTTTGCTTGTTATTTGGAAAAGATCAGTGTGTTTACAATATTCATTCGTTGATAAGTGTACCAGATGATGCTAGGCAATTTGGTGTGTTACATTATGTTTCTTGTTTTCCTTTTGAAAGCTATTTAGGAAGACTAAAAAAGTTAGTTCGTCAACCAAAATTACCTTGCTCACAAATTGTGTGACGGATTTTGGAAGGACACTTATAATTATCAAAATTGTGCAGCAGTATACCGTCTAAGTTTTGACAAAAACACTTGCTAGGTCCACTAACATTGCCATTACGTCATTACATTCAATACAAGCAATATTTTGGGGCACAGTTTCTGGTTTCTCTTGCTACTGCTGACATTTGTTTTGGTGTTAATTATAAAATTATTTTAGTCAAAAACATATTAACTGATATATTCTGCACAGATGCTAATGCTTGCGTTGTCTGCCAAGAATTTCAGCATAAAAAATCTTTTTTTGGATCCTCTTGATTCAACAAGTTTGTCCATATATTATGTGGAAAATGTGTCATTTAATACAACAACATTTTTTAAAAAAGAATTAAATATTAAATATTTTAAACTACCATTTAAACATAGCTTTGTAGTTATTCCACAAATACATTTTTTTAGTATATCAAATAACTTTTTACAAAAAACACTATTACTATTATATCTATGCAATAGTTTTATTCAATGAAACTAATACAACAGATTATGTGCCACTAACTTGGATAAGTGGAGTTGAAACCAATTTACTTTAATCCAGTATTAAAAATAAAGTATCTGTTGAAATCTTTTGGCCAAATGGGAAAAATTCAATTAGTATTGCAAAAGCTAAAAATAATCTAATGGATCCGGATGTACATTCGCCTTTATTTACTGCTAGAATACTAGGAATTGCAGATAAAATTAATGTTATATTTTTATTATCATACTTTATTATTATTTCCAGGGGTGTGGAGTCGTAAAAAAAAAGTAACGACTTTTACTCCAGTTGTTAAAATTTTTTGAGTACAACTCCTACTTCGATTCCATTTGTGGAAATTTTTTGAGCACAACTCCAATTCCAAAGCAAAATTTTTGAAAAATTCTTTGATTTCTTTTAAAAATATTACGCGATAAGTTAAAATTTTTTTTTGACAAATTGATGAAATGTTGTTTGAGATTTATTTTGAGCATAAGGTTAATTGAATGTTTTGTACATGCACGTGCAATACCAAGAAGTTTTACTATTGGAGTGGAAGTCGCAATTTTGTTTAGCGACTCCGAATCCGCTAAAAATGTTACAAGTCCGATTCTGACTCCACAGCCCTGATTATTTCAGTGCAAAAAAAAATGCTTCTGTGTTGCAAGTTTAATACAGTAACAATTTTTAATGTAATGTTTTTCAGTTTATTTATACACAGTCTTACTGAAGCACGGTCATAGGCCAAAAGAGCAGAGGACACCTTCTACCTGGATACAGCAGAAGAAAATACATTGAAAGAAGGTAACTTTAATTTCAAAAATTAATAATTTAATAAATTATGAAATATCTTTTTTTGTATTTATAAAACTGTTTAGATGTAAAATGAATTGTTCCTCTGAGAATGAAGAAGGTTACGATCAGATTATACCAAGGTTGTTTTACAATTTTATAAAGAACTGTTTACTAACTTTTTATCTATTGCTACTGTATCTGATACTGTATACTGTATTTATTATTATGCTTTATGTATAAAGCATAATAATGACAATGTTATATATCCAAATATTTTATTTATTTTAAAAAGTAAAAACAAAAACATGGCACAAAAAAAGAATTCCCTATGCTTTTTGTGTTACTCAAGTAGATAAACCCACTCCATCTTTCATTCACAAAGAGACTCATTCAATAAGAGAAAATTTGCTGAATCTGTACGTAACATTCAATTTTTATCACTTTATGACGCAATTGTTATTTATTTATCATTAACCAATATGAAATATTGGGTACTGATAACCTCATCAACCCCATATGCTATTATTATAATTCTTTTACAGTTATGGAAGTGATATTGAGTTGAGCAAATGTGAATCTAATATTTTACCAGCCGCAACACTAGACTTTGAAATAAAGAAGTATTGATACAATTATCAAATTAATGGTTATATTTAATGAACCATATATTTTTGCCAAATATACCGGATATTCATTATCGAGTAAAACTCAATGCTATTGAGCTTTTCTCATGTTCTTTAAGTGTTTATAAAGTAAAAATATGTGTTACAAGTTACAAACAGTATTTAATAACTAATTTTTACAAAACCGCAAAAAAACTCTTAAAGCACTTGTATGTTTGCTAATAATGGACAGAAATTAAATAAAAATATAAGGATCCGGATATAAAATCTATTATTTTTGGTACATTACCAATACATACGCCAGTGTTATAATATATTTAGAACAAAATAATATGTGTTTTTATTCATTGTTAACTTGTTTAAAGTTATGCCATTGGTTTAATTTAGTATTGAGCTCAAAATTATTTTTTGTATATGTAACAGTTCAAAATCAAAATATTCCCGATCGAAAAGTATATTGATAGACTCTGCCTCTGTTCAAAACAAACTATTTTACTATATAATAATTATATATAATTATTCAAAATTATGCTAGTTATATAAATTACGTATAATTATGAATAAATTTACATAAATATATATATAGCTGTTGTGTGAAACTTGAAGTCATGTAATCAAATAAATTTAACTAATTATTTAGTTTTTAATATAATAATAATTGCTCTACATATTGTAACACGCTGTATTGAGCACTTTTACTGGAAAAATTAGCGTTTTTACAATTTTATTACTAGTGTTATAAATCTGAAACTTTCTTTTTAAATGTCTTTATGTTAAATACAGCAAACTACTTCTATTTAGGTGAGTCTGTAAAACAACAGATGGTTGCTAATTTATTAGCAATTGTTATTAGCAATCAGGAAGATATGAAAAATGCTCAAGCAATCCATACAGCACACAAATTTAGTCAATTCGTATTAAACTTAACTTAAATGATCATATCTCTGCAGATCTTCCAGAAGATATTCCATTACCAGCTTAGTCAATGGAAGAAACAGATATTGTAACAGAGAAGCTGGAAAATCCCCGAATAAATAATATAGTTTTAAAAATAGTTACTTACAAAAACTTTTAATTTTTTTATATCTGAGAACTATAACTTGCATCAAAATTTTTTTTAGGCCAAACATTGCTGATATTGGTGAAGAAGATTTAAGAAATTTTATTATGAGGTCATTGCCTATGCTGCTAGACAGCTTTGTTGCACATAAGTTCAATTTGACCAGGCAAAAAGGAAAACAAGCTTTTAAAACAAATGCACTTCATTTAGTTCTTTGTAGTGAGTATAAATTTAGTTTATACATTAGTTTGTGTAGAGCTTATAAGTCTACCCAAAATAGACCTCAACATCGTTGTGCATTTTTTGTTTAATGGTTAATTTTTCGTAATTTAAACAATATTCATATAAATTTTATATAATTTATTTAACGCTTCATTTTGTTTAGTTTTAAGGCAAAGTACATCCGAACTGTACATACAACTGAACGTCTGGTACATCCAAGCTGTAATATATACCATCACCATCATCGTCATCGTTATTGCGTCTTTGTTTCCGTGCCTGCATGGTTAGACGTTTCTCATAATGTCATTTCTCCAACATACACGGTCTTGAACATCTTCTTCCCTTAAGTGTAGCTTTTTCAAATCTTTCCAAGTTTTTTTGTTTCTACCTCTGCTTTATTCTCCTGAAACTTCTTAATTTCTACATGCTGATAACCAGTCATCTGCACACTTTTACATGCCCAAACCACTTTAATCTTCCATGACGCACCTTATCAGATACACTCACTGTGTCTAACCTTTTTCTTAAATCACTGTTTTACTTATCTTTTCGAGTCGCACCGCTCATCCATATAATCATTATCGTTTGAGTCTTTTCCAAACGCTAATCATCATTGACATATAGGCAACCATCAGCCATAAAGTACAAAATCAAATATCAAAAAAAGTTGTGTGCGTGCCGGTGGGTGTGTATTAATGATGTGTTACTGTTTTATAAATAGATGCCATTAAATTAAATCCCAGCACAAAAAATTGCACGTAAAAAGAAATCAAAACTGAACTTTCAACATAGTTTGCTAACTCACGGGATTGTGGAAGTAACAGACGTGTATCTGCTAAAGTTGCTGTCAACGTTGACTAAACTAGATGCAGATTACTTTACACCGTCAGAAAATTTGGACAAATTTGATTAACATTATAACTTTTTATTTAAAAATAAATAGTTTAAGTTTTAACCGTTTTTTTTTTTTTCCAACGTTTCTTGTTTTTTATGACGAGATTAACTTTAAGGCTGAGGTTAAATAATGCTTACATTACGCTTATGAGACTTAAGATGTTTGGATGTTTCTTTTGGGCTGTATACAGATTTCCCTAGTCGTAACCGCACCATATGGGCACCATATGGGCTAATTGAATGGGCTGCATACAGGAACTATAAGGGTTTCCCAGTGGGAAGCCCGTATAGGACCCGTGTGGAGCTTATTTGCATCTCCCGCTGGGCTAGCAACGGGTTGCTCATATGGGTCCCGTATCAAGGCCCGTATGAGTTTCATATGGTACCCTTATGTGTTGGCTTGCTGGGGAGTTAAGAGAGAGTTATAACCACAGGTAGCTTCCTCATCTGTAATGGCCTCATCGGCCTTGGAAAAGGATTTCAAAAGTTTGCATTAATTTATTTATTAAAATCTATTTTTAAAATTTAATATCTGTATCAAAACTTAATAAGGAGTAGTTGCAAAAAATTGCTTTTAAAACTTGTCAAGAAAAAGTGTTGAAAATTGTTTTTCAAATGAAATGAAAGAAAATTTAAAAAATCTGAAAAATTAGTTTTGCAGTTTGTCAAAAGAATTAACAATGAATTATTTTTGATATCTTTTTTTCCAACAAAGGTGCAAGCAATCATTATTAAAGTTGGAAGTTACTGGAAGAGAAAATTTTATAAGGCAAGATAACAATTTTTAAACAACTTGAAAGCTTGCAAAAATTATGAATTAGGAAAACAAGAAGGAAGCGAATTCCTAATAACTGATGTTCAAAGAAAAATACTAGACCAAAAATATTTTTAAAAGCCCTTATAAGCATTTACAGTAAAAGTATAAGACTTGATTGAATGACAAGTAAAATAAGAATGAATTTTAGTTAATAGCATAAGCGAGAAATGCAAGGCATAGCATTAAGAAATGCAACATTATGACAATGTGATAATGGTTAAAAGTTGGCTGCAAGATCAGATCCAATTATGTTTATCATGCCTTTGCACACCTTTTCCAAAAGAGAAAAGACATTATTCAAAAATCAGCCCCATATCTCCCTAGAATCAGCCGTTAAATCTCTCGAAAATCAGCCACATACCTCTCAAAAATTAACCCCATATCTTTTATGGAGTGTTGTTGCCGTATGGAAACAAAAAATCACACAAGAACAGATTCATATGAGAACATTCCATACAAGAACAGATGCAGAAGAGAATTTAAACTAAAAAAGTGGCGAACATGATAATATGATAAAAGCTTAGCTGTTGCATTTACCGCTAATAAATAATAAGAGATCTAGATTGTTGCTGAAACAATAAGCTAAAAAAATTTTTTCTAAGTAAGGCTTTGTCAGCCACTGAGAACCTCATGCTGTAGCAGAAGTGAAATACTTTTGAACCTCTAATGCCCTCACCAAGCAATCAGAGAGTGTTGGCTCCTTTTTACGGCAAGAATAAATGGTCATATCGTCATCCAACGATCTCCACTTATATGTGAGAATTTCTTGGAGATCATTAATGTAAAATAAAAATGTATAGGATATCGAACTTTGAGGAAAACAAAATTTTAAAAGAAATGAAGGAGAATGCTTGAGAACAACCCATCGGAGACAATTTTTGTGCTACGATTGGTAAGAAACAACTCAATAATCTTAAAAATGTTACATGATACATCGCAAAAAAAGAGCTTATGGAGACGACTATCATGCCAAACTTTATCAAAGACTTTAGAAATGTTGGGAGCGATATGTATAACCTTTGCACATTTATCTGATGCACGATACAACCTACCAGTTAATACAGTTAACAAAACAGTAGTTGAACAAGAAGATATCAATGATATATTGATGATCAGAAAGTAAGATTATTAGATTCAAAATGAGAAATTTTTGCTAATTATTTAGTTGCTAATCAAACATCTTGATATAAACCAAAAAAAAAATTACAAAAACCTTGCTTATGATACGAAGAAGATTGATGGTATGGTAGTTGGACGAGTCAGATAGCTCTCCGGAGTTTTTTAAAAGTAAAGATAACTGATAAGGTATTCTTATAGGCTGGAAAATAAGACAATCATAAGCAATTGTTGAATAATTTTGAAGTATAAACGGCAGCACCGGATAATATTTCTGCAAGACTATTACAGGTATGATGTCCAGACCACAAGCTTTAGAACAGTCTAAGTAGGAAATCACTTTAGATACAGAAGCTGGAGTGATACGAATGTCAAGTAATGAATCAACCTGTGTGTCGGCTTCATCAGGTAGGATGTGATTAGCAAAATCAAAAGAGAAGATTATTGAAAAGGTCTTAGCAAACAATTCAGTTTTTTCTTTTAGTAAGGTAACAAAATTTGAACCATGCAAGATAGTAGGAAAAACAGATTTGCCTTACTATGGACACTGTTATAGATTCTCCAAAAGTAACTGGAGCTTTATATTTGGGATAAAATACTAGACTTAGTAATCTGAGAATAACGGGCATGTGTTGTAGATATAGTTTTTTATAACTTGTGAAAAACTATATCAAAAACTTATTGAGAGGTACTTGGGAAGTTATTTCAAAAATTTGTCTAGAGGTTCTTTTCAAAAATTATTTTCAAAACTTGTTAAGTGGTAGAAAATATTTTTTTTAATTTTCTTTAAAAAGAAAATTAAAAACAAAAATCAGTTTTAGGTATAGGATTGTGAAAATAAACATGAAATATTTAAAAAACTGTTCATAAATATATTATATATATAAAAATTATAAAATAAATATAAAATAAAGTATTTTTTTTTTTTTACAAAGTGTTAAATACCTTAGCTGACTAGACATAGTTTTACAAGTTAAAATAATTATAATTTGCCTTAGTTATCATAAATCTTTTTTAATTATTCAAAAATTTGTTTGTAAAATTTCTGATTCTCAATTTAGAAAAACAATTTGAACTAATAAAACAATATTATGTTATAAAAATATAATACATAATATGAACTATAAAACAATCAGCACAAGTAAATCTCACCTGTTATAATAACAGAACTATCTTGTTGAAAAAAATATTTTTTTGAGCCTTGAAATGAAAACTTAAAATTAATTTTTTCATTCTCAAACATTAAATTTTCTACTTTCACGAATAATGTAGCATTTTTTTTTTTTGTTAGGTAATACTCAAATGCATTCTTCCTATTACTGATAGATGACCAATTATTATTGCAATTGTGTGATTGGAATTCAACATTTGTACAAACTTTATCATCGCAAAAATCAAACTTGAATACACAACCTTTCGGAATATTTTTTTCAATATTGCTGTAAAAAAATTATTATACTTAATGTCATATATATATATATATATATATATATATATATATATATATATATATATATATATATATATATATATATATATATATATATATATATATATATATGTATATATATATATATATATATATATATATATATATATATATATATATGTATATATATATATATATATATATATATATATATATATATATATATATATATATATATATATATATATATATAATATACTATTATGTCTATTTCAATTTTCTCCTTAATGTCAGTATATTATATATATATATATATATATATATATATATATATATATATATATATATATATATATATATATATATATATATATATATATATATATATATATATATATATATATATGTATATATATACATATATATATATATATATATATATATATATATATATATATATATATATATATATATGTATATATATATATATATATATATATATATATATATGTATATATATATATATATATATATATATATATATATATATGTATATATATAATACATGTGTCTTTTAATGTATATATTATATTATATATATAATGTATGTCTATTGAAAATTTAAACAAAATTATTATAGGTCACCAAATGGTCAGTTTGTTAAATGTTTTTGTTGAGATATAACGCCTCTAAATTTACAGACAAAACGAAAAAGGTAAAGATACTTGGTTAATTCTAGTTAAGGTTTAAATAAATTAAGATTTTTAACCCTGTTTTCTTTCATTTGGTAACTTGTTCTAGAATTTTGTAAAAATAATATCACAATTTAAATTATATTAAAATATATATAAAACATATTTATCTAAAATATATTTATATAAAATATACTTATACAAAATATATTTTATGAGTGATTAAATGATATTCGTTACATCATTTGGTAACTTGTTCTAGAATTTTGTAAAAAATATCACAATTTAAATTATATTAAAATATATATAAAATATATTTATCTAAAATATATTTATATTAAATATATTTATACAAAATATATTTTATGAGTGGTTAAATGATATTCGTTACATCAAATATTCAAAGAAGGACCTGTTAAAGTTAAAGAGCACAAACGCTGAGAAGATAATTTCCTCCTCATTATTTGTGTCTATTTTAATTTACTCCTCATCATTTTGTTTTCTGCCTCCTCAAGTTATTTTTATTTTATATCATAATACCGTTTATACATTTTTATGAAATCTCCTAGTATTTTAAATTGTTTTAAAGATGCCAACTTAAAATTTTTTACATTATGATTAGTAACAAAGAGAGGTTTGTTACTAATCATAACGTGATTACCTAAAATAAAATAGTCAAATAACTTATGTCTAGTTTCGCAATTCCTGACAATCTCGCAATGAAATCTGATTCAATGTTGAGCTCTGGGTGCTATGCTGAAAGGTATTACGTGGCAATAAATTAGGTTTAAATTGTTGAGAAGTTTATATTTTTGAACAAAATTGCCTTTTTCCGTCTGTCTTTAAGGAAGGTTAATTTCATGATTTTACATCGAGTAATGTAGTCTTTATTTTGCAAAGCCTGATGAACTTTTATTGCATTGTGTTGAACCTTTTCAGTTTTGTGAAAAAGTACAACACAACTCCAAAAGTGGTCTAATATATGCAATATAAATTTTTTTCTAAATGTAAATGTCTCTTAATACAAACGTATGTTTAGAATTTTAATCATCTTGTTTGCTATGTTTGCAGCTATATTGCACTGCAGAGTATATTTAAGATTCTCAGAGATTAAAATTTTAAGATCTTTTTCGGATATTGTGACTTATAAAACTTGGTCGTAGCACAGACCAACGCTGTTCGTCATATTTATTAATGGCCTTCCAATTCATTTCAGGTTACATCTATCATCCCAGCTAGCTACATCTAGATTGATGTAACTAGCGGGGAACCCCGCTAGTTAGATCAATCCATTCAGATTTTGAATCTCCAAGTATAACACACTGCTTGCGGTTTGTTAAGACGGCTTTCATCCAATTTAGAAGCTTTTCATTTATACCCTACATTTCAAGCTTTGCAGCAATCTTACATGCAAAACTTTATCAAATGCATTTGTAAAGCCAAGAAAAATTAGGTCGACTGGGTTTTTTTTTTGATTTGCTAGTCAAAAAGTCTTCTTTGATTTGCGAGTCAAAAAGTCTATTGTTTATAAAATATTTGTGATGCAAAGGTTTTTTGAAAGAAAACCATGTTGAGTTTTGAAAAGCAATTTGTTATTTACGAAATGATTGACTATGACTTATCTTACTATTATTTCCATAAGTTTGTACTGAACAGAATTGAGCGAATATGGCCTATAACTGTCTGGATCTGTTCTGCTACCTTTTGTATAAATAGGTGTAACATTAGCTCTAAGCCAAGCTAATGATGTGGCACATGCTTTTAATTTATTTTATTACTTTAATTATTATTTTAATTTATTGTTTTTTGAGCAAAATATTATCAAAATAGGCATTAAAGAAATTATTTTTTTATTATTGGCGATCTAAACATGAATTTTTTAAACTACGAGAATGATTGTAAAATAAAAAAATTTTATGATTCAATATTTGAAACAGGAGCAATTCCTCTAATTAGTCGTCCAACTAGAATATCAGCAAACTTAAGAAATCTCATTGATAACATTAATATTGATGTCTTGAATAACAATATACATAAAATTTATTGAAAGCAGATAGAACTGATCATTTCCCAATATTTCTATCATTCAACTCAAATTCTAAAATTAAAACCAAAACTAATAATAAAATAAGTAAACGCATATAAAGAGTTAAAGAAACAATTATCACTGCTTCATTAGAAGCATATCAATTTTAATGACGACGCAAAAAAAATTTATAAAAATTTTTTCAAAACATTTTACTTTGTCTATGATGCCAATTTTCCCATCTGTGAAAAAACAATAAATCAAAAAAACTTAAATGCTCCTTGGATACTAAGGGATTTAAAAAATCATCTAAGATCAAGCAAAAGCTATATATAAGTTACTTAAAACAAAAACACCTTTAGGCAAAAAATTAAAGATTACAAATATCGATTTAAAAAAACTCGTAAAAACTTATTAAAGAATTTTTACTCAAAACTAATTGAAAATGTTAAAAAACGACTCTAAACGTACTTGGAAAATATTAAGAGAAATTAGTGGAAAACAAAAAACTTGCTCAAATTCCCTACCGCAGGTGATTAGAGTAGATAACAAAGATATTTTTGAACCTAGATTAATTGCTCATGAGTTTAACAAATTCTTTATTGATATCGGTTCCAAACTAGCAAATAAAGTTCCCAAAACCCAAGTTGTGTTCAATAACTTTTTAACAATGATGGATGATTACATTTGCTCCAATAATTTATCTTCTGAACTATCATTTAAGGAGTTTTAAGTGTCGTTTAAATCTATTAAAAAAAGCTGATGAAATAAATGGAAACATAGTCTTAGAATGCTTTGAACAATTAAAAAATATCTCTTTAAAGTTTTCAGAGCATCAATCCAACGAGGAGTTTTTCCTAATAAGTTAAAAATAGCTAAGATAATCCCAAGATACAAAGAAGGAGACAAAACTAATGTATGTAACTACCGACCTATATCTATTTTATCAACATTTTCAAAAATCTTAGAAAAAATTATTTACAATAGATTATATACTTATTTAAAGAAGAAGAACATTAAAAAAAAAAAATTTGGTTTTAAAAAAAGTAGTCTACTGAGCATGCAATTATCCAATTTGTCCGTGAAATCTCTAAGCCTTTCAAAAATTCACAATTCATTTTCGGTATTTTATTCTAACTTTATTACGCATTCATAGCTGTATGAATTATGCAAATATTGCTTGTGCAAGCACTGAAAAAAAGAAACATGACCACCAGAAACATGCATTACGTTTATTTAATTTTGCTGATCGTTTTTCTCACTCTAACCAACTTTTTTATGAAAATAGTATACTTAATATTTACAAACTTGATATTTTTAATGTTTTATGTTTTCTATATATATGTAAAAACAATCTGCCTTTTTTAATGATTTAATTACCTTGAAACCTACCAATAAATACTCTCTAAGAAATTTTTTGTCGAACAAATTTTAACCAACTTTTGCATTGATTATCGTGCATCCCATCTCTGGAACAAAATTGATTTGCCTAGTTTTAATTTTGATCTACCTACTTCTTTGCATCTTTTTAAAGTTAAACTGAAAACTTTTCTCTACCGTATTATCAAAATTTGACAATAATATTTATATAATCGATATATTTATTAAATTTTATTATCTATACTACAAAGTGATATATGTATGTACATTTTATTTTTATTTTTTTGTACTTATAGTTACTTTATAACCTAATATTTTGTTTACACTAGTATAAAGTTCTGACGATAAGTCTTACTGATCTTCTTTCTAATAGTTAGTTTTTCAAATGTTAGTAGTATTTGCTTACTTTATTATTTGTATTAATTTTTATTTACTCTCATTATATTGTAAAAACAAACTAACAAATGTAAACTAAAATAATAATAATAAAAAAAAATACAATCATCTGCATATTTGATTTGTATATTAAATTATAAGAACATTTATAAAATGCTTGTTATATTTAGCCATGATGGTACACGATCTCAAAGTACAACCTTTGTAAAGTAATAATTTGCATTTCTTATATCTTTGAGTATTAATGTTTTTTTTTCTTGGATTAGTTAGTTTTATCAATAAAAATTTAAACTTAAAATTAAAAGAAAAAAGAAAAAAATCACAAACGTACTTAGTACGTTTGTGATTTTAATTTTAATTAAAACAAGAATTATAACAAGAAATTAAAGCCGAAATTAAAAACTTAAACAAAATATTCAAAACTGCAAAAAAAGTGTCAGTTTTTATTAAAATACATTCTATGACCTTTTAAAAAATATTTTCTCATTTAGTTTTTTTTTCAAACATTTGGATTGT